TTCACTTTCCTCATATTTAGCTTTAGTGGTTGGTGCATAAATTTGAATAATAGTAGTATTAACCAGTCTTCCTTCTTGTTGTTGTTGTTATGTGCCGTCGAGTCGGACCCGACTCACAGCGACCCCTCCTTGGGTTTCCAACGTGGTATCACTCAAGAAACAGATCGCCTAACATTCCTTTTGAGAAGTGGCTGGGGAGTTTGAACCATCAGCCTTCTGGTTAGCAGTCAAGTGCCTTACCCATTATGCTACCAGAGCTCCCTTGTAGTCATATGGATATTATTCTGTCATTGACATCATTGTAGTTCTGGGTAGATCTTGAAATGTTCCTTTTGACAATGAATGCTACACCATTCCTCTTCAATTTATCCTTCCCAGAATAAAACTATAGTTGTATGATTCAAAATGACCAATGCCAGTCCATTTCAACTCACTAATGCCTAGTATATCAATCTTTATGTGTTCCAGTTCATTTTTTAGAACTTCCAGTTTTCCTAAATTCATGCTTTGTACATTCCACATTCTGATTATTAGTAACTATTTGCACCTGTGTCTTCTTCCCATTTTCAATCTTGTCCCATCAGCAGTTGAAGGTCCTGAAAGTTTTACTCCATTCACGTCACTAAGGTCAAGTCTACAATGAAGATTCAGCCCTTTTGCAGTTGTATTTTGAGTGCCTTCCAGCTTAAGGGGCTCATCTTCCAGCATTATATCAAACAGTGTTTCAGTGCTATACATAAAGTTTTCCAGTAATGTATCAGACAGAATTTCACTACTATTCATAAGGTTTTCAGTGGCCAACTTTTTCAGAAGTGGATGGACCCTGTCCTTCTCAGTCTGTCTTAGTCTGGAGGCTCTGCTGAAATGTGTTCACCACAGGTGACCTTGCTGGGTTTTTACATACCAGTGGTATAGCTTCCAGCCTCAGAGCAACATGTCCGCCATTATAGTATGACAAACTGATAGATGAGTGGTTAATCTAAAGAAAAGTAGATTGAAGCAAATGGAAGGAGAGCCAGTGGTCATGGAGTAGAAAATTTAATATTGTTAAGATGAGAGTACTTCATAAATTGATCTACAGATTGACTGCAGTCTCTACCAAAATTCCAGCTGTCTTTTTTGCAGAAATTGACATGCTGATCCTAAAATTCATATGAGAATTATAAGGGAACCAGAATAGCCAAAACAATCATGACAAGGAAGAACACAGCTACTGGGGTATGCATAGTTTTGTAAACAAATGGTGGTGTGATAATTGGGTATCCACAAGCAAAATAATGAAGCAAGATTCTTACTTCACACCATATTAAAGATAATTCACTCAAAATGGATCTAAATCTAAATGTAGGAGTTAACACTGTAAAATTCTTAGAAGAAAACATGCAAGTAAATCTTTGTTACATTGGATTAGGCCATTTTTTCATAGTAGATATGATACCAAACCACAAGCAACAAAAGAATAAGTAGATAAATTGGATTTCATCAAAATTTTAAAGTTTTACATTTCAAAGGATACCATCAAGAGAGTGAAGGCAACCCACAGAATGGAAGAATATATTTGTGAAGTATATATCTGATAACAAATTTATAGCCAGAAAATATAAAAAACACTTAAAAGTCAACAGTAAAAAGAAAAATAACCCAATTTGAAAAAAAGCAAAGAATTAGAATAGACATTTCTCCAAGGAAGATAAGCAAATGGCCAATAAGCATGTGAAAGAATGCTCAGCGTTAGTTGTCATTACCCACCCACTGCCACCAAGTCCATTTCCACTCATAGAGACCCTCTAGGATGAGTAGAACTGTCCCACAGGGTTTCCAAGGCTGTAAATCTTTAAGAAGCTGATTGCCTAATCTTTCTCCTGTGGAGTGGCTGGTGGGTTTGAACTGCAAGCCTTCTGGTTAATGAACTGGTATCTCATTGTGCTTTGATATGCATTTCCCTAATAAAAAATAAACAGAAAAAGGGGATACTGCATGGTTTAAAAATCAGGAAAGGTGTGTGTTAGGGTTGGATCCTTTCACCATACTTACTCAATCTAGAGGCTGAACAAATAATCTAAGAACCTGGACCACATGAAGAAGAACACAGTATCAAGATTGGAGGAAGACTCATGAACAACCTGAAATATTCAGATGCCACAACCGTGCTTGCTGAAAGTGGGGATGACTTGAAGCACTTAAGGATGAAGATTAAAGACTACAGTCTTTAATATGTAATATGGATTACATCTCAACAGAAAAGAAAAATCCTCACAACTGGTCCAGTAAGCACCATCATAATAAATGGAGAAAAGATTTGAAGTTGACAAGGATTTCATATTACTTGGTTCTACAATCAACACCAATGGAAGCAGCGGTCAAGACATCAGAGGACGTATTGCATGGGGCAAAGCAGCTGCAAAATACCTCTTTAAACTGTTAAAGGGCAAAGATGTCACCTTCAAAACTAAGGTGCTCCTAACCCAAGCCACAGCATTTGCAATCGCCTCATATGCGATGTGAAAGCTGGACAATAAATAAAGATCAAAGAAGAGTTAATGTCTTTGAATTGTGGTGCTGGCAAAGAATACTGAGACTACCATGTGCGGCCAGAAAAATGGGACAAATCTATCCTAGAAGAAGTGCAACCAGAATGTTTCTTGGAAGCAAGAATGGCCAGACTTAGTCTCACCTACTTTGGTCATGTGGTCAGAAGGGACCAATCCTTGGAGAAGGATATCATGCTTAGTAAAGTAGAGGGTCAGCAAAAAAGGGGGAAGATGCTCAGCAAGATGGATTGACACACTGGCTACAATGATGGGCTCAAGTATAGCAATAATTGTGAGGATGGCACAAGACCAAGCAGTGTTTCATTCTGTTGATACAGGGTCGCTATAAGTCAGAGCCAACTCAGTGGCACCTAATGTATTACTGTTTATCAACTTTTATCTCATTGTGGAATACTATGTGCTAACTCATGCTTTTTAAGTTATCTCATTTTGTTACATACCTTGGAATCAAGTGTTTCATGTCATTTCAGTGTATATATTCAGGCATTTCACAAAAATTTGAGTAAATAGGAATATTGTAGCTCTGTTGTTGTTATGTGCCATCGAGTCGGACCTGACTCATAGTGACCCCTCCTTGGGTTTCCGAGGCACTATCGCTATGGAAGTTGATTGCCCAACTTTCCTTCTGGGGAGTGGCTAGTGGGTTTGAACTTCCAGCCTTCTGGGTAGCAGTCAAGTGCCTTAGGCACTATGCCACCAGAGTTACACAGTGGTTTAAAAATAACACATGACCTTTTTCATAAAATTATAGAAATGAGTACATACATCATTTCTAATCAAAATTTTCTAGATGTAAGTAACAAAAAGTAACCAAAACCAAGTTCAAAAGGAAATTGGATATTGAGACTTACGGAAGTATAACTGTCATTCTTCTACCCCCCATTTCAGTTTCTTTGTGTATCAGGACATCTCTATTATTTTCACTCACTGTCATTTTCATCATAAAACATTGAGCTCTGGTAGCATAGTGCTTAAGGCACTTGACTGCTAACCAGAAGGCTGGCGGTTCAAACCCACTAGCCACTCCTTGGAAGGAAGATGGGGCAATCTACTTCCATAGTGATACTGCCTCGGAAACCCAAGGAGGGGTCGCTATGAGTTGGGTCTGACTTG